TATTTTTTATACTACATTTATCCATTTTAAATATATTAACCTCACTCCTTTGTAACAACTAAAGCAAAAATGTAATTAATTCAAAAAATCTTTTCAGGACCCCACCTTGATGTTTCGGGACCCCACTTTGGGTCCCGACCCCAACTTTGGGAAACACTGAGTTAAGGTACAGACAGGGTTAGTAACAGAGAGAAGAGGGGGTTTGGTGCACCTGTTGGCCTTGAGGTTTCTAAGTCGAGCCTCCAGGTCGTTGAGAAGATTGACTTTCTTACAGCACTGAGAACAGTAGATGTCCAGCAGGTCACTGTTGGACAGGTGCTGGATTTTTTGAGGAGTCTGTCCCTCACTGGAATTACAAAAAACAGAACCACATGTATTAATAAACACCAAGTTTTAATAGAAAAACAAAACTACAAATTGAGCATTTTCTAAAATAATTTAAACTCCAAAACAAAAAAGTATTAACATTGTCTGATTAGGAAAAAGACTATAGATAAAACCTAAAATCTTTTTTAAATGTCAGCAGTTTATCTGCTGTTTCAGACAAAATGCCAATTAATTCATATGAGCCTGTAAAACATTTGAGCATATTACACAACAAGACTTAACAGATTATATTGTTTTTATAAATGAGTCCAAATCTACCTACCTACCTACCTTCCTACCTTCCTTCCTTCCTTCGATCAACAAGTTATACAGTCACAGAACTTTAAGATCCACTTCCCTGATTCTGAAATCCAAATCCACCATTTGTATGTCTGTGTTTAACAATTCTGAGTCAATGCTGACTATATAAAACCTTTACTGGGTTTATATTTTGTAAATCCAACAATATACTGTAAATCAGTTTGATCTTTCTAACTGAATCACGTTGAGAAAGATTAAATGATGTTCATTAGTGTTCTTATAGAGAACAGATATAAAGCAATGAAATCTGTCCAGAAGCAGGTAAGGAAGTAAAATGTATCATTATTTATCATTTACAAGCTCATAAATCAAAGTATTATTTAAAGAAGAAACTCAAAAATGCATTTATAAGCAGAAAACCATCTAAAAATAGAAACAATAAATCTAAATTGAAATTTACAGCAACCTTTCCTTTGTTACAGAAAACAGATGAAGTAAGTTTTTATCTTTGTTTAAAACCCGCCTGCTGCCCTTGGGTCAAACCCAGAAGCAGAAGGAGGTTACAATCAGTTTAGAACATCTTGTTTGATAAAAAATCATTTATTTATTAAACCAATATTTTGACTAGGCTTTTATTCATTTTTAGAAGAGCATTCATTTCTCCATTTTCTTTTCTTTATTTAAATGTGAAAAACAAACAAACCTCAAATTAAGCTCTGAAAAAGAAACCGGTTCAACCTAAACTACATATTTTTGTGTATTTGAAAGTACGATTTAGCGTATTTGGTTTTCAGAAAAGATCTCTTTTTTTCTTGCGGTTGCCATACTGAATTGAGGTACTGGAGCTGCACTGAAGTTGGCTTTTTACTGTGCATGTGCACGCTCCTAACTCAGAGTTTAGATACTCTTGAGTTATTTTCTATGGATCTCCTTCAGATCAGAACATCTTCTCAGCAGATGGAATGATGATAAAAGATGCTACATGTCTTCAGAGTATCTGGACCACCTGTGTTTGTGTTGATGAGGATGTTTAAAACCAGTTTAAAGCAGCTCTGTGGTGAATTATCACAGCATCTGCTTCGCACATTTTCAAAGGGTGTTCGACATTTTTGCCAAGTTGTCTCTTCAGAACAACACTCAGATAGAATGGAGCTATTGTTAGCATTCCCTTTTCCCATCACGTTTTGTAAAAGTGCTTCAAGGTACATTAAAAAAAAAGAAAAGAACAAACCTAGAGGGAAGTGATGAACCGAGGTCTGAGAAACCATTTGTCCGGCTCTCCTCTCCAGGGCAGGGGCTGCTGGGAGTAAAATCCACATCCACCCCCTCACCGTAGTCCTCAAACTGCTCCTCCTTAGCAATGACAGCTGCCGACGCTGATCCCACCAGGAGTCTACGGTCGAAACAGCAACACATTCAGTGACGGTAGCTGATTTAATCAGAGCCTAATTGTGTCACCTTGTGCTGCATTTACAGCTGACCTGTTGTGTTGTGGTGCATGCAGAGAGTTGGAGCTGTGATCACTGCTGCTGTCCATGTCACACTCCGGGTATGACTGTGTACATGTGATACAGGGAGGACCGCGCTTTGCTTCACTGTTCTGCAGACAAACAAGCTAACGTGTTAGCATGTGGTGCAGAATCAGGAATTTAAAAAAGTTTTATTTAGGTTCAGTTAAGTAAGTCTAATATCATAATAAATAGTAAATAAATACATATAATAATAAATAAAGAAGTTCTATGTTAGTGGACAAGGTTTTACCTGGTAAATATAACCATTATCTGTGACAGACTGTTGGCGGGAAGTAAGACTCTGGGGAACTACGGCCATCTTTAAAATCTCCTCACACCCTACAAAACCAAGAGCAGGGAAAAAGACAAAAGTTAACAAAGGCAAGTTTATCCTTTACTGCAATGAGTCAGATTTATGATCTAAAAAATTTAAAAACCAAATCAAGTCAAATTTTATTTATATAGCATAGAAAAGAAGAAGTCCTCTTGTACTGAGACATACGACTGTTGACAACCATACAGTTCTTTCAAAATGGAGAATCCAGAAACTGTTTTTGCCATTTTGAAAGAACTGTATGGTTGTCAACAGTCATATGTCTCATCACAAGAGGACTTCTTTTCACGGAGACAGTTAGATGGTGAAACTTTGCAAGAATTCTCACATTCGTTGTTTTGTCTAATGGATAAAGTTAAAGCTAATTCTCCCCATGCYATGACTAATGCAGACATTTTACTTCGTGATCAATTTGTTCAAAATGTTAGCAACTCTGATCTGCGAAGGGAATTAAAACACTATGTCCGTGAGAACCCAGGGTGTACCTTATTGAATGTTAGAGCGGAGGCCATTATGTGGGAGCGTGAAGGTGGGGTAGAAAATAAAGGCATGGTGGTATCTTCATGTTGTGCTGTACAAAGTGCCAGCGCTCATCCAGCCAGTGTCAGCGTTCCCCCTCCCCAAATCGAGTCTCTGTCTAGTTCAACTGCCTCCCAACTTGCTACATTAATTGCCATTGTACAAAAGCAACAGGAACAGTTGGATCAAATCACKCAATCTCTTGCAGCTTTGCAGCAGCCCCCTGTGGCCAGGTCTCCAGGTCTTAGTGGCTTAATTTGTCACAGATGTCAGCAACTAGGTCATTTTGCCCAATATTGTAATGCTCGTTCCCGTGGCAGGTCCCAACATTTACATGGTTCCACTCAGGTCCAAGTCACCCCTAGTCCTCAGCTGTTGGAAAACTAGCTCCCCCCAGTATTAGGAGCCAGACATTAGTGGGGTTCTCTGGGCTCAGTGGGTCCTCAAGTGGAGGAGGAAGTGAGGGAGTGTTTAATTGTATCTTGCCCCCAGGTCACTGTGAAATTATCTGGGGTTCCAGTCCAATGTGTCCTTGACACAGGTTCTATGGTTTCTACCATTTCCAAAAGTTTTTTCATGAAACATTTTTCAGATAAGTTAAAGACGTGCCACTGGTTAGAGTTGAGAGCAATGGTTTGAGCATTCCTTATCTGGGTTATCTTGAGCCAGATGTTGAGGTGTGCGGGGTGATGATTCCCAGRAGAGGGATCTTGGTTGTTAGAGACCCCCCAGGACAGGGCTGTTTACCTCAGTTGCCAGGTATAATCGGGATGAATATCATGAAGGCATATTATCTTCAGCTTTTTAACCAGTATGGCCCTAGCTTGTTTGAACTTCCCTCCATTTCAAGGGCTTCCGCTTCCTGCCCTTCAGTTGTGTCAGCAGGCAGAGTTTCAGAAAAGTTTTATGCAGACAAGTGTTGCAAAGCTTCGGGGGAGAAGACGTGTTGTGGTCCCTGCCGGCACTACAAAATTGGTGCCTGCTTGTTCTGCTGCRGTTGCATCAGCTGGTGCCACACTGATTGAACCCTCAAATGGTGAGTTTGGCTTGCCTGAGGGTTTGCTGGTGTCTCCTTCCCTCTTGCGTGTTTTTCGTGGTACTGTGTACATTCCTGTGGTGAATGTAGGGGTGTGTGCAGTCACTCTCAAACACCGTTGTTGTCTTGGTGCTCTTTCTCCCATAGAGGTGGTTAGTTTACCCTCAGGGTTGCAGGAAATCCCCGGGGCACAGGAGCAAATGGTTGCTGCAGTCAGGTCCCATACAGTTGAGACTGGCTCTGTTCGAGAGAGGATAACATCTCCTGATCTCTCTGTGCTGGGGGAACAGAGCAGCATAAAGTGAGAGCATTGTTGTTAAAATACAAGTCTGTGTTTTCAAGTTTTGATGGCGATCTTGGTGTGACCAATTTAATTGAGCATAGTATCCCGTTGTTAGATGATGTGCCAGTGCGAAAGCGGTACTGGTGTATCCCACCATCTGAATATGAGACAGTTAAGGCTCACATTAACCAGCTGCTGGAAACCCAGCTAATTCGAGAGAACAGTAGTCCTTATGCGTCCCCAATCATCCTAGTCAGAAAGAAAGATGGTAGTCTCCGCCTCTGTATAGACTACAGAAAGCTTAATAAGAAGACCAAGAAGGATGCTTTTCCTTTGCCCCGGATTGAGGAAACACTGGACTCTCTATCTGGAACCTGTTGGTTCTCAACAATGGACCTCGCTTGTGGTTATAATCAGGTTCAGGTTGCAGAGAACGATCGCCCAAAAACAGCTTTTTGCACTCCGTTTGGGCTCTTCGAGTTTAACCGCATGCCATTCGGGCTGTGCAGTGCACCAGGAACCTTTCAGCCTTTGATGGAGAGGATGTTTGGAGCTCAGCATGGTCAGTCACTTTTGTTGTATCTGAACGATATTATTGTGTTTTCTTCTGATGTCGATGAGCACCTGACAAGGCTGGAGGGGGTGCAGAGTCGCCTAAAACAAGAAGGACTGAAAGTAAAGTTGGAAAAATGTGACTTTTTCAAAAAGCAGGTGAAATATTTGGGACATCTCATTTCAGAAGAGGGCGTTTCAACAGACCCAAGTAAAATCGCAGCAGTGTCAGATTGGCCCCACCCCACCAATGTCTCAGAACTAYGGTCATTCCTGGGGTTTGCCAACTATTACAGGAGGTTTGTTGAGGGTTTCTCTAAGCTGACTGGGCCCCTCCATCGTCTTGTGGCAGGACTCGCTGGATCAAAGACATGCAGAGGGCAAGGACAACTGTTGGGAGAGAGTTGGTCGGAGGACTGTGAAAGGAGCTTCCAGGAGCTCAAGACCAAGCTTGTAAGTGCCCATACCCTGGCCTTTGCTGATTTTTCACTGCCTTTTATTYTGGAGGTTGATGCCAGCCACAGTGGACTTGGTGCAGTGTTGTCCCAGGAACAGAGTGGTAAAGTAAGGCCAGTTGCATATGCCAGTCGTAGTCTGCATGCTGCTGAGAAAAACTATAGTTCCATGAAGCTTGAAATGTTAGCCATGAAATGGGCCATGGCTGAGAAGTTTAAGGAGTACCTATGGGGTCATCGATGTGTTTGGACCGACAACAATCCCTTAAGCCATTTGGAGACCGCTAAACTTGGTGCCATGGAGCATCGGTGGGCCGCTGAACTGTCTGCCTTTGGGTACATGATCAGATATCGCCCGGGCCGTGTGAACACGAATGCTGATACTCTTTCAAGACAACGGACCAGTGGAGACAGGACACAACTGGAGTGCCAACTCCCCGGGACCAGTATTCCAGAGTCAGTTGGTGAGATGTTTGGGGGGATGCAAGAGGATTCTGTCCAGTTGGCAATCACTGCTTTTCCGTCCCGCAATGAGGAGGATCTGAGGGGGCTACAAAGGTCTGATCCTGCCATCTCAGCCTTTCTGGAGTTTTGGCAGCAGCAGAGGGTGCCAAGTCATGCTGAGAAAGGGCGGCTGTCCCGGGTGCTTGTGGACTTATGAAACAGTGGGACCGGATTGTCGAGAAGGGGGGCCTTTTGTATCGGCGCAGTTGGAGACCAGACGGGTGGGGGTCTTCAGATCCTTCTCCCAGAGAGCCTCAAAGTGGAGGTGCTGCATGAGCTTCATCAACATCATGGCCACCAAGGGATAGAGAGAACAACTGATGGGGTGAAGCAGAGGTGTTTCTGGCCAGGAGTGGACAAAGATGTGAAGAGCTGGTGTCAGCAGTGTGAGAGGTGTGCCCTGGCTAAGAACACCCATCCAAGAGTTCGTGCTCCCATRGGTCACCTCCTCGCCTCAAGACCAAATCAGGTGTTGGCCATTGATTTTACCCTGTTGGAGCCAGCTCGTGATGGAAGGGAGCTTGTGATGGTGATGACAGACGTGTTTTTGAAGTTCACCCAAGCTATTCCCACTCGTGATCAGCAAGCAACTACGGTTGCAAAGGTCTTGGTTCGGAAGTGGTTTTACCGTTTTGGAGTGCCAGTCCGTATTCATTCCGACCAAGGGAGGAACTTCGAGGGTGTTCTGGTGCAGCAGTTGTGTGAATTGTATGGAGTTCAGAAAAGTCGCACTACACCCTACCACCCGCAGGGCAATGGACAATGTGAACGTTTTAATCGGACTATGACCAACCTGCTTCGTTTGCTTCCCCCAGAGGAGAAACTGAATTGGCCAGAGCACCTTCCACAGCTTGTCTTCCACTATAACGCCACTACCCATCAGTCAACTGGTGAATCTCCTCACTTCCTTATGTTTGGACAAGAGCCCCACTTTCCGGTGGATTTTCTGCTGGGCCATCTTCCTGAGCCCACAGCATTCAGAGCGTGTGATTGGGTTGCGGAACACAGGAGGAGATTGAATGTGGCAATAGATGTTGCCAGAGACAGAGTGGAGTTGGCAGCTCAGAAGAGGAAACTGAGGCATGATGAAAAGGTCCAGTGCGCACCACTTGAGGTTGGGCAAAGGGTGTATCTGCGTGATCATGGTCCAGGGCGCAGAAAAATTCAAGATACGTGGGGGTCCACAGTGTACCAAGTTGTGAGAGGGCCAAGCCTAGGTGGTGTGGTATACTCAGTTGCTCCAGTTGATAAGCTTCACCTTATAAGACAGGTGCACCGTACCACAATAAAGCCTGTACTGCCACCACCAGATACCTGCCTGAATGTTTGGCTACAGAGTTCATCTGATGAGGCCAGTGATGAGAATGATGTGGAGTCTGGATCTTGGTTAGTGTTCCAAGAGGCTGTGAGTAAACCGATTGCCCCGAAACTGGAACCGCAACTGGAACTGCAGCCACCAGAAGTGCCGCAGGTTCATACACCTGCTGGAGCAGCGCAAGCTTCATTACCCCCTCAAAGCAGTGGCATTGGCCCGAGGAAATCCACCTGTAAAACGGCTGGCCAGCATGCAAATAGTGATGCCAAGAAAAACCAAAAACATACTTAATAGAAGTTGCAGCAATTTCCCAAAAACTCAAAYCAAATTAAGTATAATTTTTTCCTTTTAACCATTAAAGGCCAGGGAGAAATAACTGCATTTATATTCTATATTTAGAGATGTTTTGTGTACCATCCTGGTCAATTAAAAAATTAAGTTCCAGATTTTTTAAAACACACGAGAAGATTTTTTTTTTCTAGATTCTACACCAAACATGTGCCAACAAGGACAGAAGGGGAAAAAAGAAACAGAAACTTTTTAATCTTTTGATAACTTTTCTCTCGTATCTACATCAGAAGCAGTGAAAAAACCAAAAAACAAACAAACAAACAAAAAGTCAGAAAACGACTTCAACAAGATACTGACTTACACAACAGGACCAATTTCACCCTGGACCAGGTCAGTACAGTGCTGGACCTCTGTCTTCCCACCACTTATTTCAAGTTCAATGACAGTTTTTACAGACTGAAGACTGGTTGTGCAGTGGGATCTAAAGTGTTACCAATTGTGACCAAACTACATGGAGGAAGTGAGAAAGAGAGGCCTGGACTCCTTTAAGTCAGGGGTGCCCAAACTTTTTCCACAAGAGGGCCAAAATGAAAATCTATCCAAGCGGGTCAAAGGTAATAATATAATACATGAAATGCAAATACTTCTTAAATAACATCTTTTTATTGTTTGTGATTAAGCTAGGAGGCAGAGCAGTGGGCCACGTTTTGTTTGTTCTTTTAGCCCATGCACTTGGAGAATGTTTGACATTTGCTTGGGCAGCAAAGGCTCATTGGACATTTTACAAGTTGATAAAATCTGAGTATTTGTGGTCTTAGAATGTGTCCACATCTACATGTGTGCTGAAATATAACAGGAGATTACAACCTACTAACCAGGACAACTATTGATGGGCCAGTTTTGGCCTGGGGGCCCCACTTTGGGCACCTCTGCTTTAAGGGAACAACACTGAGTCACTGGTTCAGATATGAGGAGTGTAACATAGTCAAAGTCCAAGCTGAGAGAATAGAAGTGTTCACCAAACATGTCAACTCAGGTGACAACATCCTGTTCACCAGAGAGGAAGTTAACAACAACAACGTGCTCATGGAAACAGATGGAAGCGTTGACAATGACGTTTCCAGGAAACAAACCAACAAAGACCAGCCCCTTCTGTTTTACTCCCATCACCCACTGGAACAGAAACTTTCAAAAGGTTTGGGGTGTCAGAGAAAACGAGCCCCGTTTTTGCAACTGAAATGCTATGGTTTCATTTAAAATCTGCGAGCAACATTCCGAGCATTTCAGGAGGATTTTCTCCAAACACAACATCCCAGTTCATGCATGTTGATCAGGACTCTCAGATAGAAGCTGGGTCCATCCTGAGGAACATCCACAGCCAAACTCTGCAGTGCACAGACCAATCTTCACACCTCTGTATTGAAGAGACTAAATGTTTTCTGTGAAAGACAGAAAATATAAAGTACATCCTCCAATACTGCTGAATGAGAGAAAAATAAAACATGCTTTACCTTTGATAGCAAATACTGCTTGGCAAAAGTCTTTGAAGTTAATTTTCCCATGAGCGTTGGGACACAGATGTTTAGTCAACTTCTTCACCTGTCAAGAAAGAACAAGTTATTTTTTTATTTACAAATCACCGCTTTCCCTTGGTAATTACATTATTACTGAAATGTATCTACAAAGTTAATCTCCATCTTCTAAAGCTCATCGGTAATCGGGTCAACAGGTCCAGGAGAAAAACCCAGACCTCCTCCACAGAGACACTCTAGCTACTCCAGAAGATCCCTCCAGCAAGGCCCGGGTCTTCCCAAAGTCTCTAACCAGTGGGACGTGACCAAAAAACCTTCAAAGGGAGGCATCCAGGAGGCTTTCTTATCAGCTGAACCACCTCATCTGACTGCTTTTGATGAAGAGGAGCAGCGCCTCTAATTAGAGCTCCCAATGAATGGAGTAATGTTATGCAGTGTTGTATAAAGTACCTCAAAGTGATACTTGAGTAAAAGTATAAGTATCCTATCATAAAAATACTTTGGTAAAAGTTAGTCTTCTCTAAAAATATTACTTGAGTAAAAGTCTTAAAGTATCTGATATTTTTTGTACTCAAGCATCAAAAGTAAATTTCTAACACAAAATCTACTTGAGTATTAAAAGTAAAAGTACTGAGTAAAAGTGAGCAGTTACATTTTCCAAAATGACTTTTATTAGGAGGTGACTTCTCAAAAAAAAATTTTTTTTTCTAACAGAGTAGCTGTGATGGGTTGTGTACAAGCTTATATGGTGTCAGAATGGTATATATTTATACTTCTCATCCAACCACAATTAAATTCACTCTATCCAGGAGACATAATTTATCAGGATAGTATTTAAGTAATAACAACTCAGAATAAAATATAAGTAACAACTTTCTACTTCTTACCTTTTTAAAAAATGTAGTGAGTAGAAAGTACAGATAATTGTGTAAAAATGTAATAAGTAAAAGTAAAAAGTATGCTGAAAATTAATTACTCAAGTAAAGTACAGATACCCGAAAATTCTACTTAAGTACAGTAACAAAGTATTTGTACTTAGTTACATTACAACCCTGATGTTATGAAAACATATAATTCTCAAAATGTGTGTTAGGGACAGTTACTGTATATCATATTACATTTTTGTTCAGCATCTGTGAAACTGACCACGTTGTAGAAAATGTTTTTTAGGGTCAATTTACTCTGATGGCCATCTTAACTCGGACTTAAAGTTTCATTTAAATTCATCCAGTGATTCATGAGATAGTTGACAGACACACACCCACACGGGTAAAAACATGATCGTCCGCCTTTGGGTGATCATAATGGAGACAAATAGGCAGATTTAGTCCTCTTTATCTGTCCAACTTCGACACGTCCTTCCAGGAACTAGACGCCGACWGTCAATGACATTTAAATGACAGCAGCTCACCTGACCACAGTTTGTCTTACCGCCACATCCGAGGAAAACACTGAACATTTAACGCACTGCTTATCAAACCCTGTGAAATCAAGGCAGATATTTGTTCAAAGCCTCACCTCGTCTCCTTGATCGAACTGTAGCCCAAGATCCACAAGGTGCTCCACCCGGATGAAGCCGTCAGCATCCTCGTCACAGACGTCGAAAACCTCCTTCAGCCTCCTCAGAAACTGCAGGAGCTGCTCGTGGTCCGGAAAAACGAGGCCTTCCATTTCAGAAGAGCTTCTCTGAACGTTTTTCTGGATCAAATTGAACGCAAGAGAGCCGGTTTGGTGGTCGCCATCATCGCAGCGTTCCGCTCCGAGCTCCTCTGGACCGTCTCGCTGTCTGCTGCTGTTGATGACGATGTGACGTCAGCAGCAGCCCGAGAACTTACGATGATTCACGATCTGAACACGAGGGCTGCTGTTACAGGTAGGCCTGATGCCCATTATGTTCGGATGTGTCAGTGGCACCACCTGCGATCCTGATGTTACAGAATATAATAAATATAACAACAATAGACATGTTGGGGATTGTTTGAGGTTTTACACACACACACATTATATA